AAAATGAAGAGGGCTTCGTGTATGAACGTAGGAGAGAAGATTGGGGTACTTGGCAAGCACTTGGGAGAGCGGAAATTATGGAGGAATAAGAGGAAACATGGGAGATCAGAAGGAGAGGAAGCTGAATATGCCCATTTTTTAAGGTGAGGATGCACATGAATGGATTTATAAGGTGGAGAGATACTTCACCGTCAATGGACTAACGGAGGAGAAGAAGTTGACCGCCGCAGGCATATGTTTGGAAGGGATGGCGCTGTCATGGTACCAATGGAGGGACCAGAGGAGACCCCAACTGAGCTGGAGAGAGTTCAAGAGTTGTTTAATAGAATGTTTCCAAATCGATAGGGGAAGAGACTTCTATGAGCAATTATTTGTGCTAGTGCAGGACGAATCAGTGGCAGACTATCGGAAGAGGTTTGAGGATCTGGCTATTCAAGTGGAACGATTTTCAGAGACGACAATGGAGGGGAAATTCTTGAAGGGGCTCAAATAAGATATCAGAGCTGCAATGAAGGACATGAGACCTCATGACTTGGGAGAGGCCATGAAGTTGGCATGGCTGGTGGAAAATCAGGGGTATCATGAGAGGAGAGCCTGGAACAGCAATTTAAGGGGTTCCTACAGGACGACGACCACTCTTTTAGCAACCAGGGGTCCTGCATCAGGAAACATTCATGAGACTCCCAGGGAGAATCAAGCAAGAGGAGGAAGTGGGGGGAACTTCAAAAGATAGACGGAGAGGAAGATGTAAGAGAAGAGAGTGAATGGACTATGCTTCAGATGTGATGAGAAGTATACTCATGACACAGGTGTAGGGACCGAACTCTTCGGGTTCTCACCATCTGTGATGACGAGGAAACTAAGAGAGGAGAGAGTATGGGAGAGACAGAGAGAGAGAGAGAGATGGAGGACAAGCTGCATCTGGATGTGATGGAGGTCTCCCTGAATTTAGTGGTGGGATTTTCTCCGAATCATACCATGAAGGTGAAGGGGGAAATAGCAAACAAGGAGGTATTGGTGTTGATTGATAGTCGGACAACCCACAATTTCATCTCCAACCAGGTCGTGGACCAATTGGGGGTGACATTGGTGGATACAAGGCGTTATGAAGTGATGATGGGTACAGGAAAGGTGGAGATAGGTCAGAGGATATGTATGGGAGTAGTGCTGACCATACAGGGAGTTCAAGTGAGGGATGATTTTCTTTCATTAGAGTTAGGGAGCATTAATGTCATCTTGGGGATGAAATGGCTGCAAACCTTATGGGACACCAAGGTCAATTGGGGAGCATTGACGATGGAGATGATGGTGGATAGGAGAAGCGTAGTGATAAGGGGAGATGCAGGGCTCACCAAAGCTATGATATCACTTAAAATCAAGGTGATAAGCATATAGGAGGTGGGGGAAGGTTATATGATGGAACTACATAGGCTGGAGGGGATCAAATTGGAGAAGGGCGAGGATAATCCTCTTTCAGTAAAACCATTAATTCACCAGTTCAGTGAGATTTTTCAGCTGCCTCAGGGGTTGCCTTCTCCACGGGGACATGAGCATGTTATCATATTGAAGAAAGTCGTTTTACTTATAAGTGTTCATCTGTATCGTCATCTCCAAATAAAGAAGGATGAGATCGAGAAATTGATTAGGAAGATACTTGTGGCAGAGATCATTCAACCCAGTATCAGTCCAGTTCTATTAATCAAGTGCTTTAGCAGCAGTTTCCTTCGTTCCACCTTGAGGACAATGTGGTACTTTGGGACGGAGAATTGTTAGATCAGTCTATTGCATCGGTCCAGCTGGTCCTGGTCTCAGGAAAAATAGGCGGAAGAGTTTCGCCTCTTCCTATACGCGCAACCGATCCGCCAAAGCCAATAGAGCGATTTAGGAAGGATTTTTAGGGGAGTTAGGAGGGAAATGTGAATGTAGAGACTGTTTAGAAATTTCCTTTTGAATTGTATGCATTAAATAATTTGTTTTCCTAGGGTTATGACATCTTGAATTTGGCTGAAATTTGAGATCTCATAGGATTTCTTTGGGCTCTAGTGGCATCTAAAGATTAATGACAGATCGTTCCTCCTCTCGAATAGAGGATCAATTGTAACTTCTTATTTCCTTCTGTAGTTTATTTTCTTGCAAAAAAATTACTATTTTTTCACTGATTTTCCATTGGAATCATGGAGATTTCTCACTGTTTTTGCTCTCTTGCTAGGATTTACATGAAATCTTCAAGTGTTTCCTATCATTACCCCTACTAAAAAACATCTAATGTGCTATTGATTTCACCAACAACAACATCAAGCCTTTATTCCACTACGTGGGGTCGGCAAATGCTATTGATTTCACCCTGAGTTTATGATTGTCTACCAAAAATTTTATAATTTTTGATAGGTTCTCTAAGATGACACATTTCTCACCTAGTTCAAAAACTAAAAATCCCTCTCATACAACCAACCTTTTTGTTAAGAAAAAATAATTAGAACACATGGGTTACCTTCAATAATAGTTTCAAACATGCATGATAGATTTACTTCATAATTTTAAAAAAATACTGTGACAAATATTTGAAATATAATTAAATTTTTCATCTTTATTCATCCCAAAATAGAAGGTCAAAAGATAAATGTTAATAAACCAGCAGACAAAATGATAAGGTGTTTAGTGGATAAGCATATTGGCACTTAGAACTTGCATTTATCTATTTTTGAGTTTACAGATAATAATAATATTTTTAAAATGACTCCAAAAATACATTTTAAAATTATTTATATCCATCTATAACCCAATAAATGATTGATCTGAAAGATATCTTTCATCATTATTTTAAAATACTGCATTTATCTTTGCGCAAAATTTTCATAATCTACATGAAAAAATTAAGCAGCAAATTCAATTAAATGATAATAAATACATAACTGAAATAAATTTTTAGCGTCATTCTAAGAAATATAACAAAGATAATCATGCATTAATTCAAATTTACCTAGAGCTTTATTCCATTAAATATAGTAAACTTCATGTAAGAGATTGGACTCTATTTAAAATTCTCAAAAATTTTGAATCAAATGGCTATCTCCTTGAATTACATTTTGACATATACATAAGTCAAATTTTTAATATTGAGCATATGCTACCTTATCAAGGAATTATTAAGCCTCAATATATGTAATATAACTCTATTACAAGAAACATAAGTCCAATTTTATAGGTTCCTCATATACCACAATTATTAGATATTAATGACAACATTTTAGAAGAACGCTCCCTACAAACAGACACATAACTTAAATCTTAGTTAGATGAAAAAAATCAATCTCTCTTTGAGAAAACTTGGATGACCAAAGAAGACTTGGAGAAACATGCTCCAGATCTTGTTGATAAATACATGAACTTTAGCCTGTAGAGTAGAGTTCCTAAGATCCGATTGAGTTGAAGTAAAATTAAAACAAAGGTCAAGAATAATATCACAAATTAAGGCTATACATCAAATTTTGGGTCATTCATTATACATAAGTCTCCATACACGTCCATGGATGACTCGTCATCTCTTTAAAATTATGGGAGAATAATTAAGAGATTTAAATTAAGATCACTTGATGGTTATGTAGGCCATATCAGTCAATGAGCCAAAAATTTACATAAATTGCATGGTTTCAGGGCCACTCAACTTAAATCATTTGGTAAATCTAAATTCTTATGTATTTGAAAGCTTTAACTTGTCTTATCTTTTCTTATTTTCTTATTCTTTGTATTAGGACAAGCCACCAATCATTATAACAATATTTTATTAGCTCTTAAGGCTTTTCAAAATTGTCTAAGCTTAGAAAAATAATAATAAATAAGACTTTGAATCAAGATTATTTTTGCTTATGAAAATTTCAAGTAGAAAAACTTAGTTGCTACTCTTATATTTAGTGAAGCTTTGTGATTGATCCCTTAGGGTTTTATTGAGTCATTAATTATCTTTTATGACATTTTTTTCTCCTATTTTCTATTACAATTCTCATATCCTCTATGTAACCTCGAATCTAGCTTCCCTCAACTTCAAAAAACATCCAACTCCTTCAAAACTCTAATAAATATTCTCCTAGCCAAATACTCATTTCACCAGCACCCAATAAACAATCCACCACCACACAATGAGACATCAATGAAAATGTAGTCTTCAACATAAAGATCCTATAGACCCTACATCAATTTGTAGTTGCAAGATTGTAGTAGGAAACTACAATGAATCTAAAGGATATAGAAGAATAAATCCAAACTCTAGCAAACAAAAAAAACAATTCAATCAACTTGATAATTGCCAATTTGGCAGGTGCAAACATCATAAGAATTGCGAAAACTAGAGTAAAACATTAAGGACACCATATTTACCACAGAAGCTAAAAATAAAAATATTGCTAGCTGCAGAAGTACAACATCAACATTACACCCTACAGAATTTTTAAAAGCTAAATATTCCATCAAAATTAATATTCAGCCACATAAATTTGTATAGAAATGACACAAATTCCATGACGTATAAAAATATATATTTTTCTAAGAAAACACAGTCAACCATACTAGATAGTTATTATATCCTGGTAACATGAGATAACAATTAGTATGCCTCCATGATCATAAAAATGCAAGAGCTTCCCAGACCTGAATCTAATATCAGACCTATCTCAGAAGTCTTTACACAGCTTAAATAAGCAAATAGAATATATTAGTAAAATGTCTGAATTTTTTTTAAAACTATATACTTTGATTTTACTGTGTAACAAGCTGCCATTCATAAAATCTCAACAATATTCTACTTTACCCTAGTAGACAAGCTAACAAAAAGATGGAATTGAATCATAAATAAGAGATATATAACCCCCTCACGAATCTATTGATTCAACCGAACAATACACTAAATTGAGAATCTCCTTTATCAGAACGAACACTTGAAAACAAAAATAACTAAAATGTTTCCCTGGAAAGCAAAAAAATAAAAGTGTCAGGAATTCACCAACCTGTTTCGTGAGCTTCTGCACGATATCGTCTGACAAACCATCCCTAGCCGAGGTTGCAGGATCAGAATCAGCTGGCACCTGTACGAACTCGTGCTCCGCAAACCCGCCTGCGCCTCCACCAACAGAGACCCCATAATAATCATACACCCCAATCGGCGGACCGGGTGTAACGAACTGAGGGCTCGCCACCGCAGCCGCCCGCGGGTGGAGGACGGGGATCATTGGTGGCGTTGCTGTCGTGTGATGGTGTATCTTAACGAGCCGCTGATGGCCCCCATTGTGGCCACCCACTACCGTCGTTGTTGGAACCCGCGGAACGAATTCCGGCGCTCCGGCGTTTAGTCGGCTGGACGAGACGCTGCGTGAGAGGTAGGATTCGGCGGAAAGCTCCGCCGGCGATCGTTCGCCGGAGGTGGATGGTGCCGAGGACGTGATCCGATCCTCGGGTGCATCTAAAGCATTCTCCTTGGCCTCTTGCTCCATGCCAGAGAAGCAACGCTCTAGGGTTGAGCGGGCAATTTCCTCTCTTTGTTCCTCCTGATTTTTCTGGTTTTCGGAGTACGAAGCCGGTATAGCGCGGAGTTACTCCTTGTTCGGTTGGATTAAAACTCTTTTGTGATCTTTTAATTAACTAAATAAATAAATTTGAACAATGTTTTAAATACTCGATTCTTAAATAAATAAATTTGAACGCTAATTCGTTCAGCTCATTTATGTTCGCGAACAACATCATTTGAAATTAATGAACAAGCTCGACATTAAGCTCGATAAAAACTAGATTCGTGTTCGATTTTGAACTCGTGAATAAGCTCGATATAAATAATTAATATTTGACTATAGAATTAACCCCCTCCTTTTTTAATTTACATAAAAATATGTATAAAACCTGTAAATTTAAGAAATGGGCCAATAGAGGGTACCCTAGCGGCTTTCCCTTTTTTTGACTTCTCCTCCACTCTTCTCCTCTTATGGAAAAATTATTGGGTTTGGACATCAAATGTCATCCAGAGCCCAATGAAAATGCGCCACAACACTCCTTACTCGGTACTGAGCAGTACCAAGTAGTAACGAGCTCGGTACTGCTCAGTATCGAACTTAGTATTACTCGGTACTGGATAACGTGGCTGCACCTGATTGGTTTCCGAATGGTAAGCTGCGTCCGGTATCTGAACCCAATAATTTCCCCCTCCTCCGACATTGCCGAAGGACACCCCCTCCCTCCCCCTCCCTATAGACCCCTCCCTCCTCCCCTCTAACATCCTTGTTATCCCAAAAGCAGCCCCAAGTTGCTCTGGCCATAATACTTCTTCTCCCTTTGATTGGAAACACATCATTTCCATCTAAACCCCTATCACGGATGATCTGTCTCTTTCATTTATTCCCTCTTAGGAGGAGAATGTCGTCTTCTCTCAGGAAGATATTGTCGTTGCTTCTAAAGACTGGAACTTTTCATTAGTTGGTTATTCGATTAGGCATATGCCTTACTATGAAGCTTTATTGGTAGCCATATGTATGTCCTAGAAATTGAAAGGTATACTACAACTCTTATTGTTGAGTTTTTTTTTTTTTTCTTATTAAATTTTTCAACTCCAGAAGACTATGGCACGGCGCGACCCAGTGGTGTCTGGTTCTTCCTTGGTAAACCTATCATTTTCAGAAGTGGAATCCTTATTTTTGATCTAAACATGATGATTTTATCTACGTTCACATATGGTTGAAGATTTGTGACCTTCCCCTGTCTTGTTGGTCTTCTGATGGGATTTCTATGATTGTTAGTAAGATTGGCCATCCTCTTATTGTTGATGCTCTCACAGCAAATGAAACTTGTCTCTCATACACTCACATCTATGTCCAGGTCACTAATAAAGCTTCATATCCATATGTTATCCCACTCTCTATTGCTGGGAAATTGGCCAACCAAAAAATATGATTGAATGAAAACCTTCTCACTGTGATTGCTACGAATCATTTGCTCATCTGGTAGCCTTTGGCCTATCTAAAACTTTAACTACTCAAATTATTCGACCTCCAAGAGGCCGTAGCATAAATTTCAAACCTGAGAGCTTACCTCCAACGTCACATTCAACTTACATATATTAATGCCCAAACCTCTATTACTATAAATATGCTCTCTAAAACACCTACCATCAGCTCCCACCACCCCCTCCCCCTTCTTCTACTCATGAATCTCTCATACCTACATCCATATCAAACATGAATTATGTTGAAATCCATAATTTGTAGTCTATAATTTTGGTGATGACAAACATTATTGATTGAATTGTTATCTTTTCTCAATAAATATTTTAGATATTTCTTTTATCTATGAACACTAATATTGCATGTAAAATTTACATTATTCAAGGCTACTAGAAGCTATGAAAGCATGTTAGATATGTTAAGCCCTTATGAACTAGTCCGAGGCTAACCAGAGAGGGGTGAATTGATGTTTTAAAATTTTCTTAAACAAAAATCACGATATGAACCAAATAACTCCAAAATAAAATAAATTGAAGAAATTAAATGTAGAAATGCAATAAGAAACAACACACCAGTATTTTATAGTGGTTCAGTCAAATTGACCTATGTCCACTCCCTAGAGCCTATCCTCCTGGTATTGCAGTAAACTCAGTCTCTCCTTATACTCCCACATCAAGGTGAAGAAGCTTGTACAAAACTCCTATCCACCAACCCTAGTGAGGTAGAGAATCCAACTCATTTTGCTTCCTCCTAAAGCAGGCAGAGAACCCGACTCCTTTCGCTTCCTCCTGAAGTAGGTAGAGAATCTCTATTAATCGTTGAAGTAGACCTTTCTAGAACCTCCAAGGAACCAGTGATGAAGATTAGAGAAGATGATTTGGATCCTTACTTAGAGCAACCTTTGTGAAACCCTCACAAATTCTACCTCACAAGATCCTCTCTCTCTCCCCCAAACTCTCCCTCTCCTCTTGTCTCTCTTAAGTTAGGACATCAAGAAAAGATCACATCTTGAGTAAATAAGATATCTTATATATAAGAGCTTCAAATTTGTCTTAAAGTGCAACTAACCGACAAAGATCATTCAGGACGATCGATGGATCATCTTGCACGACCAATATAAATTCAACTAAATCAGCCAGGACAATCTAGGGAAGGCTGGACATTAGAAAATTTGTTTGTTCTAATTGTCTAGGATGATGGGTATATCATCCTGTACGATTAGTTCAAAAGTCAAATATCGTCCAGTCCATCGCTCTCTTCAGCCAGACTTTATATGTTTGGACGATTAAAAAATAACTTATCATCCAGGATGATTCATGGATCATCTTATACAATTAGTTCAAAATATCAAATATCGTCTAGAACATCGCCCTATTCTTCCAGGACGATTCAGGAAGAAACTAAGGTTTTTTAATAGATTGTCTAGGACGATTCTGCGATTGTTCGGGATGATATGATCGATCAATCAAATCTTAATTGTTTTTCTTAATCATTAGACTAATTTAGGCATAATTATAACGCAACGTCTAGGATGATATCATGTACGATGACTAAAAATAATATCATGCTTAAAAGAGTTGGAGGCTAATTCTTTGTTATTTAAGTATATCGTTTAGGACGATGTTAATATCGTCTAGGGCGATTTGTTTAATTTGGTTGTCTTAACCAAGATGCCCTAATTAGGTTTTCTATTTTTAATGGATCATCCAAGACAGTTTTGGATCATCTCGAATGATATGATCAAAAATAAAAAACTCTAAAACAGATAGAATTTTTTCCTCTGAGTGTATGTGTGTAAGGTTACTTAGCATCAGAGTCAATTTTATTACATTTGACTCAAGAAAAGGTTAAAATACTTGAAGTACACTTACATACCGACTCAGTCCTGATCTAACCACACTTGAGCTAGCTTAATTTGCAATTGACCTTGTGGATCTGAAACATTAATAGGTAGGGCAATAGTAAAAAAATAGAGATATCAGAAATGTTTGCTATCATCAAAATTATTACATCCTTAAATCTAGGTTTGCAATAATCTCCCACTTTTTTATGATGAAAAACATTTGATAGGAAATTTAACTTAAGCAGTAACGAACACATTAATACTATCACTACTCCCCCTTTTGACATCACAAAAAAAGAGGAAAACAAAAAAGAAAAAATAAAATATAAAAGAGAAACTAACCAACATCACAAAAAACAATGAAAAAATGATAAAAAGAATGAAAAACAAAGATTTTTTTATCAAAGCAATAATATGATAAATTTTCCATGTGATTGAATTAAAAATTTGTAAGAAAATAAGTTAACATCATCGAAATCCAAAAAACTGTAGAACAACCAATCCTGTTAATCCTACCTCGGACTTCTTAAAGGGCAAACTATCTTTTGAAAATAAAGATCTAACTCAGAAAAATCAATTGGATAAGAAAAAATGATCTGTTCAAAACTTCGTTCCAAAAAAAAAAAATCTTACAGAATAATATACCAAAGTATTTAGTCACAATCATGAATTTTGAAATCAAGTCTTTGAAAAGATCAAGTGACACATGAATTCTTCTAAGATTTAATGATTTGAAAGAGAAGGAAGCTTGCTTTCTTGTGGGCTCATTTCTCAGCTCTTGTTAATTAGTTGGCACACTTTGCGCATCTTTTAATTTTTGATAAATTTTGTGTATCTTTCAATTTTTTTTTGCGATTATTGTGCATCTTTTTATTTTTTTTTCTTTTTGAGCTCATTTTATGCCTCTTGTCATTTTTGCAAGCTAGCTCTCTTTCAAAACTTTTAAATACTCCCCGTTATAAGAATATCTTCCAAATATTATAGAAGAAAAAACTCACTCTCTAATATAAAGAAGAGTAAACCACAAAGCAGAATCAAATTCATGTGATAAATGCAATGACAATATTACGAAAGCTTGAAAGTGATTTAATGACTTTAAACATTATTTATATAAGATAGATTACTGTAATAAGATAGAAAAGATCTCAATCACAAAGTCCAGTTATTAATTTGAGATAGACTTTTATTTAGAAAAGAAAATTACATCGCTAAAAAAAGTTAGATAAAGGAAAATAATACTGAAGTATAATATATAGCTATAGGGAGTTATGTTGCACAAGTCCTCTGGTTAAACAATAAATCTTAAATCTGGGACTACCTATAAGCACCATTCAAATCATGTGTGATAACACTAGTGTCATTTGTATATCAAATAATCCTATCTAACATTTAAAGACCAAACACATAGATATTATGCACCATTTCATTAGACACCATATGACAAAAAGGGATATAGAGCTACTTCATGTAGCTACTAAAAATCAATTGGTAGATAAATTTACTAATCCCCTAGCCTATGACACATTTAGTACCTTGAGGACTAGATTAGGTGTTAATGACATTCAAGCTTAACTCAAGATAAATCAAACTTTATTATCATTTGAAATTAGCAATTTATATGTGTTCTTTTATTTGTTGTTTATTGATTCATGAGTTATCTTTATTTTTGTTTAAAAAAATTAAAAAAGGGGTGTTTTCTAATCATCACACACACACTCTTTATTAGATAAAAATTTTGAAAACCAAAATTTTCTTATCATACTTT